TACATGGGATACCCATGGCACATGGTGTACCCATAGCACATGGAATACCATAGCACATGGAATACCCATAGCACATAGAATAGCCATAGCCCATGGAATAGCCATAGCACATGGAATACCCATAGCACATGGAATACCCATAGCACATAGAATACCCATGGCACATAGAATACCCATGGCACATTGAATACCCATAGCCCATGGAATAGCCATAGCACATGGAATACCCATAGCACATAGAATACCCATGGCACATAGAATATCCATGGCACATGGAATACCCATAGCACATAGAATAGCCATAGCCCATGGAATAGCCATAGCACATGGAATACCCATAGCACATGGAATACCCATAGCACATAGAATACCCATGGCACATAGAATACCCATGGCACATGGAATACCCATAGCACATAGAATAGCCATAGCCCATGGAATAGCCATAGCACATGGAATACCCATAGCACATAGAATACCCATAGCACATGGAATACCCATAGCACATGGAATACCCATAGCACATGGAATACCCATAGCACATGGAATACCCATAGCACATGGAATACCCATAGCACATAGAATACCCATAGCACATATAATACCCATAGCACATAGGAGTTGTTTCTAGAATTTCTTTGAGTACGGTATTATGAAGTATTCAAGAGAAAGTTTACTCTAGTTATGTCACATGTTATGTGACAAATTCAGATTTATTGACAGTTCTCATGTAACTGTAAATTATTATCAATATCAATATTTGCATTGTTTTGGCAACGTTACTTTATACATTGTACTCAAATTAACCACCTTGTTGAATTCTCCTTAGAAACCAAAATGGGATATTAATAAAAAATTATTGCATTGTTTGAAATAGGTTTCATTTGGTTAACAGCAATAATATAATGTTAGTAATAAAATATAATTCATAAAAGTAAAATGTCAAATTAATTATAAAACCACTTAGAAGCCATTCCAATAAATCTATAATGTTCCATTTCTAAGGAACTGGTGGTCAAGTTTTCCCTAAATCAGTTTGTTAAATCCCCAAGATTGTCTTGGATTTCATTTCATTTTCAACATCAAAATCCAATGGATGATTCTGTTTGATATATTTGAAAACAAAGATCAGAATTCATATTTGCAGCAAGTTTTGAACCATATGTGATACATAGAAACATATTTAGCCCATATTGGTACTTACAAGAAGGGCTTGGATATAGATGTGGATATACGAGATGTGTACATACCAGTACAATCTGACCACCTTGGTAGTTGTAAAACGTCAATAAACACCAAACCATGAAGTTGTTGTTTCTAATGTAACAAAGTTCATGAAAGACATGGTTATACAATTTAAGAGCTTAACTAATTAATTGGAATTAAATTGTTGACATATTGTATCTCGTAAATTATTTTGTTATATGTGATTACAATTGACATTATTTTTATACACACATGCCCGGTATCAATTTATTTAGAAGACTTATTTTTGAACACTATGTGCGAAAACACAAACTAAGATTATTTTCGTAATGCGTTGCATTATTAGAATACATCAAGCAGGTATACAGGGATTAATATACATCAAGGCCAGATGAAAACTTGCATTCGTGTAAATGCATAGAATTGTGGGATAATTACTGTTCTTCAATGCAAAACCTGCACTGTGTGACATGACGACCACCGTGAGAACCTTTTAATTAATAATGTGAATTTGTGTACAATGATTTGAAGAACATTGCGGCTAATGTCAGTGGAATAACTGTCTTTCTTTCTTCAGAGGTAAAGTAGTCAGATAAGCATAATCTTAGCACGTCTATACATCAGTGGAGAATGAGTAACCAGAGATTACTAGACTAGTCTACTGTGTAAATAATTTAGATTAATCCATTTATGGTCTAAAATTAATAACTTGTATGTAAATATTTTAAGCTGCTTGTTTATATACATGTAGTTGATTGTATGAAATAATAATAAATAACAACCTAAGGAGTTTATTCTTCACAAGATGGTACAACATGCACATATCAAGCATTGACTCAGAATTCAGTATAGAACTATAACTTGCACATATCAAGCATTGACTCTGAATTCAGTATAGAACTATAACTTGCACATATCAAGCATTGACTCTGAATTCAATATAGAACTATAACTTGCACATATCAAGCATTGACTCTGAATTCAGTATAGAACTATAACTTGCACATATCAAGCATTGACTCTGAATTCAGTATAGAACTATAACTTGCACATATCAAGCATTGACTCTGAATTCAGTATAGAACTATAACTTGCACATATCAAGCATTGACTCTGAATTCAAATTTAAATGAAACTTGTATATAGATATCAAGTTAATTTTTACATAAATTAGCTCATTTTTATATGTTTCACAGATATCTGATTTCAATAAAACTTTATGCATCAATTAAGGGTTGACATTTTAAATCCTTAGTTTTACTAATCCCTTCACCACCATTAGCAATGCACAAGATTTTTTTTTTTATATTTCAAATTTAATTTTATGAGTTATTCCTTTCTTTCAATTGTGTTATTGTGATATTAATTCTCAGTTATTTCTCATTGTTGTATGAAACTTAAGAGTTTTTTTTTTTAAATTTACCGACTAGTTCTAGAAACAAATAAACTTGTTTTTGTAGCTTTATGAATTTTCTTCAATGCATATGTTATATATCTTAGAGTGATATGCACAATGAGACAAGTACAAAAAATGTAATATCCTGCATATGTGCCCAAACTAATGCATGATGACTCGGTGTGAGTCACAATCCCTATTATATTAACTTGCAATTAGGACTAAAAATAAATACACTCAAGGTGACCTATATCTGTTGCCGTAGATACTTGATGTGAAATTCAGTGAAGTAAAAATGCTAATTATTTTGTTTCAATGTAATACGTGTAATATTTTCACAATAATTTTTCGTGATAATTGCCAGATATGTTTCCATGACAACTATATTGGGTACTCTAGATTTTTATTGTTATCTACATGTAAAGGTGCATTGTCGCTGACAGAATGTTTTTATAAGATTTCTGTGGTTGCTAAGGCCTTAGGATTAAGCCTACATTCTGGGATATATGTTCTTTTGGTGATGCTGCGTATGGTTTACACAATCAACAAAAGTACGAAAAAAAAAATATTCAAAAACAGATACACAATTCTTGTCCCAAGTAAAATTGAAAAATGATGAGAGGGATGTGGTACTCATTTTCACTTTTTTTAAAAAAAATTTCATTATTTTTTTCAAAATTATTAAATAATACAAAGAGAAGTCATATTTTGAATTCAACATCTCATAAATAATGTCTTTAACTCACGCTTTAAGGTTATATTTGAATCAACAGAAATAAGAAATCCTTCTTAACCATACATGGATGACTTCACCAGTATCCCAAATTAAAAAGAAACTACTTTTAAAACCTGTAAAAACCATATTTTTTGTGTGGCCATAACCAGTGTGACACACTTATGTCCAAAACTTTTAAGAATTTAATGTAAAATAAAATGTTAAAATATTACCATACTAATCCTGACAACAGAAATGAGTATTTAGAAAACTGATATAGGCAATAATGTGTATCGTATGTAACTAAACATTAAATGTAATAGAAGATGATGTAAAGGACATCAGATACATCATTGGCAGCATTGTGGGACATCATTTGTATTTCCCATGAGTAAGCCATACAATGTAAATAAATTGGGGATAAGGTATGGGGCAATCTATTAATTCATTTTTTAACCAAAGGACACTGTATTATAGCCTCTCTGATAAAACACAACTCTAATGAAATAGCTATTTTGTACAATACCGAGTCAATTAAATAATAATAATATGTTTATTACATCGTAATGAATAATGACAGTTCATCTTAATTACATGTAAGTCATAAAGTATAAAAAAGTAGGATACAAGACAATAAAGACAACAGATCTAAAAAAGTGTACTACCCTTGATATGTTTTACTAAATAAAGCTTTAAATTAATGAACTACCTGTCTGATCAGGTGTATGTCTTCAGTGTTCATTATTGTAATAAACTTGTTTGTCTTAGAACGATATTGAAAGTCTAGAATTTGGTTTGAAAAATGGCTATACATTTTTGCACATTCATTGTTGTAATTGTCACAGGTTGTAATAAAATAAAATATTAATTACTTTGACTGTAGAAATATCTTTTTGTAAGTGTACATATATATGCTGCAAACATGATAGTTGAGCCATAATTTTGATTTTATTAAGGATGTCTGAGTGCCAAAAAACAGCAAAATATTTGGAAATGAAGTTTTTAGTTTTCAGTGTTTCTCTGAGATATTAGAGCTGCAGAGATAGCAATTAGCAACATGTTTTGCAGCATATTTTGGTTTATTTTTTGGCCAAAAAAATATGGTTATTTAAAATTGCCAATTATACGTAGCAATTAATTTGAGTATAAATTGTGACACCAATCTAGTGTAAACCATAGAATTATAAAAAATAACACACAGGATGTGTTCTTCCATTAATAATCAGTTTTTATGCAAAATAAAAAAATGAATCTGGATATTAACTGTAAATGATTATTACTTATGCATGTACATTATGTGGGAATCTGTACTCAGTGGGCGTTGGTTGGATTATATCGCCTTGACAACAATGGCTACATGTACTATGTGTACAATATTGTACTTGAACATAAACAATTATAATTAGCAATGTTGTATCATGTGAAGACGTTAAATACTTTTCTAACTGGCATTTGTTTTTTCTACAATTTAACCCTTCAATTTAACCCTTCAATTTAACTATTCAATTTAACAATTCATGTTGCTATGAGATTGGTTCTATGGGGAATTCTATAGGCCTACAAGAATAATCCTATGAGAACATACAGGATTCAAAAAATTCTATTCGACTATTGCTAAAAGCCTGTAGTGTTGTAAATAAACTTGCTTTGAAACTGACACCAGTTTATTATGATTTTTTGCAGATTTAGGGTACAGTGATGCTAAGTCATGTCAGTTAGATGGATGCACCGGACTACCAATAAAGGTAATTTACTTTTATGCAGCATTTAGTGTTGTCATTTGATACTTCAGAAAACTGAAAAACTGAAAAATATTTGTAAAATTAAAATCTAAAATTAAAATGTAAATCTTTCTTTTTGCTTACATACTGTGAAATGACTAATTTTCACTGGGTTTAAATTTCGCCGATTTACCATTTCAGGCATATTCAGTGGGTTTTAAATTCAGTTTTATCATTTATATAATGTGTTCTATGCTCAATTTCATATATTCACTGGTGTTTAAATTTAGTGCATTTTCCAGTCAGTGAAACAAGCAAAATTAAAACCCAGTGAATAATTAACTCTTTTACAGTACTAGTATACAGGTTGACCTATAATTGGAGATCCCAAATTGCGCCCTCACATGGCCAAATGTAATTTCACCTGTTTAAACAAAAGTATTGTATTTTTACTATATTGGCAACAATGCAGAAATGTGAACTTTGTTTCCTAGCTTTTGATGTAAATATCTAGTTATCACTGCTTTCCTCCACCATGTCTTGACTGATCATGTTAAAATTTTTACATAAAGGTCATGTCACACATATTTATTATTCATCAGATTTAAGATGTTAAAAAAATCATCAAAATCAAGTATTTCTGCAATTCTGAATCTTGGTCATAGACAGATTTTGTTCGAACTTGGTGTGTACTTTGAACTTTATGGCACCTTAATGCATGTCACTTTGTTTGTGACATCAGACTTAAAATGGCCGACTGGTGGTCACTTGGTTTTAGTGAATGCAATTTTGGAGCCATATTGATATTTTGACATTCTTTCTGACTATTCATGTTCAAATTTTATATATCTCTCAAACTTGAGAACTAAGAAAATTAATACTCTGTGATGGTGTGGTATAGCAATATTTAAACAATATAACGTAGAACCAGAACTTGTTTGCACCCCAACTGAAATTACAATGCAATATGTCATGTTTATCAGGTTATGACTAAACTTTAACCTCTGACCCCACACATTTAGCATCTCATTAATGGATGTACACAAATGATACCAGACACTCATCAATATTTATTAGACCAAAACAAATCACACAGAATCAGAGACTACAGAAAAGCCATTTTGCATTGCATCAGTACGACCAAACTATTTTGATCATAGGGGTGTTATAAATTTAAATGTTAAACAATCATCATAATCATATTCCTGACATGGTTATATTCCAGCTATATTACTATAAACAAAACTATATATCTTAAATTTGATAACTAACTGGCATGGCTTGTTTGATCTGTTCTAGATTTGTCATCATCGTGACTGTCGAGTACAGAATAATCACCAACCATTGGTTCTGTGTGAGTCATGTGATATTAAACTACACTCTGAAGCTTTTGATGGGCATCCACGGTTTGACCTTCGACCTCATGGTAAATATCAAGCAAAATTAGATCATTAAGCAATTGTGACTTTATACATAATAATTTATACACAGTTATGTGCCAATAAGATTATGTTATTTTATATGACAACAGTTTTATTTTGAACAGTATATGAGAAATGTTTCTTTTGAGCATTGTATGAGAAATGTTTGTTTTGAGCAGTGTATGAAAAATGTTGATTTTTTTGAATAGTGTATGAGAAATGTAAATTTTTTGAACAGTGTATGAGAAATGTTAATATTTTGAACAGTGTATGAGAAATGTTTGTTTTGAACAGTATATGAGAAATGTTTATGTTTTGAGCAGTGTATGAGAAATGTTAATGTTTTGAGCAGTGTATAAGAAATGTTAATTTGTTGAACAGTGTATGAGAAATGTTTCTTTTGAACAGTATGAGAAATGTTAATGTTTTGAACAGTGTATGAGAAATGTTAATGTTTTGAACAGTGTATGAGAAATGTTTATGTTTTGAACAGTGTATGAGAAATGTCAATGTTTTGAGCACTGTATGAAAAATGTTAATTTTTTGAGCAGTGTATGAGAAATGTTTATGTTTTGAACAGTGTATGAGAAATGTTTGTTTTGAACAGTGTATGAGAAATGTTTATGTTTTGAACAGTGTATGAGAAATGTTAATGTTTTGAGCAGTGTATGAGAAATGTTTATGTTTTGAACAGTGTATGAGAAATGTCAATGTTTTGAGCAGTGTATGAGAAATGTTAATGTTTTGAACAGTGTATGAGAAAAGTTTGTTTTGAGCAGTGTATGAGAAATTAGATCATTAAGCAATTGTGATTTTATACATAATAATTTATACACAGTTATGTGCCAATAAGATTATGTTATTTTATATGACAACAGTTTTATTTTGAACAGTATATGAGAAATGTTTGTTTTGAGCATTGTATGAGAAATGTTTGTTTTGAGCAGTGTATGAGAAATGTTGATTTTTTGAATAGTGTATGAGAAATGTAAATTTTTTGAACAGTGTATGAGAAATGTTAATGTTTTGAGCAGTGTATGAGAAATGTTACTGTTTTGAACAGTGTATGAGAAATGTTTGTTTTGAGCAGTGTATGAGAAATGTTAATGTTTTGAACAGTGTATGAGAAATGCTAATGTTTTGAACAGTGTATGAGAAATGTTAATGTTTTGAACAGAGTATGAGAAATGTTTGTTTTGAGCAGTGTATGAGAAATGTTAATGTTTTGAACAGTGTATGAGAAATGTTAATTTTTTGAACAGTGTATGAGAAATGTTAATTTTTTGAACAGTGTATGAGAAATGTTAATTTTTTGAACAGTGTATGAGAAATGTTAATTTTTTGAACAGTGTATGAGAAATGTTTATGTTTTGAACAGTGTATGAGAAATGTTAATTTTTTGAACAGTGTATGAAAAATGTTTATGTTTTGAGCAGTGTATGAGAAATGTTTATGTTTTGAACAGTGTATGAGAAATGTTAATTTTTTGAACAGTGTATGAGAAATGTTTATGTTTTGACCAGTGTATGAGAAATGTTTATGTTTTGAACAGTGTATGAGAAATGTTAATTTTTTGAGCAGTGTATGAGAAATGTTAATTTTTTTATACATGCAGTGTTATATGATGTTGGTTATGGAAACAGAAAATAAACAGTATAATGCATGAATCTGAAAACATTGTTACTGTAACCGCTATGTATCAGATATCTCATGAATGGCGCTAGAATAGAAGATTTATTAAATGAGTTCAGCAATTACAGTATAGCATTGATTTTTTTTTTGATTTTTTTTTTTGATTTTGGCTATTTTTACTGACAAAAATCCACTAAATTAAATCCTTGTAAGCATGTACCATAACAGTAGAATTCCTTGTTTCAAATATGTGAATATAAACCCCTGTGAAAATAAATGGTTTTACAGTAAATTACTAATACACACATAAAAATTTATTAAATCTGATATTATACCGGTAGGCTAAGAAATATTCTGGTGATCCTTCAATGTAATAACGCTTGAATCATAAAAACATTGTAAAGCGCCCTCTCTCATTCACTGTTCATGTGCATGTATTATCACCAGTTTATTCTCATACATTTAATGAGGTTCTGACCAAATTGAAAATTATATGACACCTTATTTAGTTTCATTGTTATGGTAAATAGTGTTAGTATGTTGTAAATGAAAAAACAAATTTGGGTCGCAATATTTTAAGGTACTATAGTTTTGGAAAAATTCAAAATTTACATCTATGATGAAATGATTTCTTCATCTTTAGAAATTCAGCTTGGGATGTAAAAGTCATAAATTGTTATTGATATGAATCTTAATAATCTTAAAACATTGATGTATAATTTAGTGAGTTTCCATTGCGATAATAGTTTCCATTATATATTACCCGCTATGTCAAGTTTTTTAAAATTCACATAATGCATTGCATATATGTGCTCAGTAGTGCAAAATTAAACTATATGTATAAGTCAGATTTAATTTCTAACAATCCTTTAGGATAAAATGTAAACCCATCAATGTTTGGAGATATTTCGAGTTATGATTCAATTTGCTTGAATTGACCAATCAGATTCTGTTATTAAAATAATGTCCTTAACTATGAAAACTTTGTGGTATTTCCAAATTAATTCTTGCTCATCATGTTTGTGTTGTTTGAAACTCAAATAATTTTTCAACCTGGTCCTGTCCAGCTGGTCACTGGTTTGTGGTCTTATTGTATTGCACATTACATTGACAACTACGTAATATTCATTTATTCAGGCACCTCTCTCAGTCGTAGTGTTTCAACACGGTCTTGTCCAGCTGATAGGCCTATGTCTGACCCTGAAACTATAGATTCCTCAAAAGATGACGTGACAAGTAGCGGTGTTGATGATGAGATGAAATCGTAAGTTGCACATTTACAAATCTACACCTAATGTACTGTCACAAATCAGGTTTTTGTTTACCCAACTTACAACCTTAGGTAATTGGCGATGGTTGGCATGGTAATCAAAGCTTATCAAAAAATAAGTCACTTTTACACCTTCCAAAAATGAACAGAATGGGATACAAAAATGGTGATCTAATTTAACTAGTCAAGTTTGATTGATAGAAGTTAATATCGAGTTAGAGCGTTTTGTGACTTCTTGCAAAACAAATGCACAAATAATAATCCAATTGATCCTATT